ACTGGCTGATGAAGTTGCGAGTTGTGCCGCAATCTAGCAAAGCGTTGCAGGCCGCTTGCCCAATCTGAATGCGAACGTAGAGCAACGGTGCGTTGTTTTCTTCGTACCGTTGCGAGACAAACTCGCGGGCCACCTTGGCAACGTAGCCAAGCATGTCCCCCACCGCGACTTCGTCTACCGTCGGCGAAGTTGGTGGTGCATGGAAGGAAAGATACTGGTGTAAGAGGGCGCATAGGGCTGCGTTTTGCGGCCCCGGAAGGTTGCCCGTCGTACGGAGAGGAATCCAAGCGAAGTCCTCGGGCGTGAGCGGGTCCAAAGCCTCCTCGTTGAACACGCTTGCCGAATCCCTTGATGAAGACGAACTGGCGGAAGAGCCTTCGGACGGTGAGAAAGCCGCACATGTATCTTGTCCTTGAGAAGCATCCAGTGAAGGAACGAGCCGGGCAGCGAAGTCTTCGCGAAAGTGGAAGACTCCCGACATCCGTGCGCACAACCGCTTTCGATGGCGTCGAGGGAGGTGTCGAGTCACCCTCGGCGGCGCCTACTTTCCCTGACGGGGTTTCCCCTTGGTGGGGCAATGTGCAGCATCGTGGATGGTGCTGTTGCACCAAAGGCAGTAACGGTACTTGAGTCTCGTGCGATAAGAATTCGCCGAGAGTCCGTATTGTGCCCAAGGTTCATCGGCGGCTGATCCGGTGCTTGGTGTAGAGGTGGACTGAGTCTTCGTCTTGTCGCGACCGTGATTGTTACGCGGCCGGCCACCCTCCCGGGCAGCTGCCAACACTTCACCCTCGTTTGGTGTTGCAGCCTCGGTAGAAGTAATGCAAGCCACCTTTGGCTTGGGCTGGGTGCCGCTCGTCGTCGCGGAAGATCGGACGGCGTTGCGGGCTTCGATATTCGTGAGAATGATCCGTGACGCGGTGTTGAAAAGCTTGTCGGATGTGTCGAGTGTCTCTGCAATCTGCGTCAACGCGTTTTGCAGAGCTGCACACGAGCGCATGATAAACAAGTGCTTAATGGCGCGGAAAGCAAGCGGCAGGTCAGGTGTGGAGGCGAGTCTTTGGAACTCGGTAATCCAGTCCTGACTGAGCAGCGTGTTCTGATGGAGCTTGTTGAGCTTGTCCATCGCTTGCAGGTCAGGCGGCTCCACTTGGAATCGCTTGTGCCAGGCGTCAGTCAACTCCTGCCAAGTGAGCTTGGTGTGCAGTTCCGACACTGCTACGCCGTGGCTGGTCAAGATGTTGTCCAGCAATGCTTGACATGCACCACCAGATCGGTGGTACAAGCACGGATGTCGATCGTTGCTCGGGACATGGTGCATGTCGAGCCTGAGAGTAAACTGGCGCCACCATGGGATCGGTTCCATCTTGGACTGATCGCAGAAAACTGGAATGTCATCCAGTTTGGGTGGGCACCGGGAGGATGCGGCGGCGGGCGTCACAGTGGCAGCAGCCTGTACCTACGTCTCCAACTGCAAGTTCGTTGCTTGCTGCGACGTCCAAGAGTCCTGATGCACACGTTTGATGTTGCTGACGTCATCCTCCAAAACTTGCACATGGGTGGTAAGGGTGGAAGGCCCTGCGGCTGCTACAGCAGCTGGCTGTTTCTCCAATGCCTGCAGCCGTGCGAGCATCTGGTCCACTGTCTGCTGCAGGTGAAGGATTTCCTCCTGCTGCAGAGCGCAGGTGGCCACGAGGTCGTGGGAGACCTGCGCAAGGGCTGACAACTCTTTCTCAGTCTTCAGGGCCCCGTCTGCAGATGTCACTTCCACCCAATGTGCGGCCTCATCGCCGATCATGGTCTCCCGCGTGAACAGTCGTTCCCGCTGGCATGACCGGTGTTCGGCTGCCGCCTGCAGGTCTGCCTCTTCTTGACGAAGCCGGTCCTGTTCCTCCTTCTGTCGCTTGGCCTCCTCCTCTTGTTCGAGCCGATTACGTTCCTTGGCCGCGGCGGCGGCCCTATCATTGGCCTCCTGAATGAATGCCGCCAGGCGTTCCTCATAGGCCAGGAGGGATTCTCCCACCTTCCGGTCCATGGCCTTGGTCTGTGATCGAGTGAGCAGTGTCATGCACTGCTGTGCCCGAAGTCTGAAGAGTCACTCGAGGGCCAATCTGATGGACTGGCCCAGTACCCGGACTGAAGGGGGAGGAATAGGTAGGAAGCAGACAAGTGGGAAGGATCGGACAGATCCCAATTTGAACAGTTTCCTAATAAAAAAGAAGAAAAACAAAACTTTAAAATTCGGAAAAAGTCTGTCCAATCCCACTGAGTACCGAAGGTGATGCAGAAAGCAAATGTGAACCTTCGGTGCTCGGACTGCAGAGAATCAGAAAAGAAGGGTCTTTATAACTCAGAGTAGGAGTAGGTTGCAAAAGAAAAAAATGCCGTTTTTTTTTCTTTTTTTCTTTTTTTTGAAAAAAAAAGAAAAAAGAAGAACGGAATTTGCAGACCTACGCAGTGAAAGTGTGGAGGGACAGTTTCGGAAAAAGAATCGCGAAATTATCAAAATGCAGACATTTAACAATTAAACAAGGT